ATTTGTTGCCAGCTGCCAGTCTTGACTTCATCAGAGTGAATTCCGCATTGTTTCTATGCACTCTGAGCACATGGTGGACACACCAATATGTAGCCCAACACACTGCAATTCAGTAGAAGAATACAGCACTGTGTATAGCACTTTTTTAGCACAATTATTTTTCCTGAATCCCACACCATCAGATATCCCTATCTACTCCAACATACACTGACACATAGCTAGCTGGGAACCCTGCATTTTATAGTGAAGGGGCTAACACATTACAAAGCTCCCAATATTGGCCATTCTAAGCCATCTGACTAAAGTTCAGAGATCAGAAAGTGCATTATTAGTATTTAGTTACTAAGGCAGCAAAGGGCAACATTAGTTTGTCCTGCCAGTGAGTGAACTTTGAACAGGTTGGGTTGGCTGTGTGAACCCATGCTTTCCCTGATCCTAAAGCTTATCCCTAGTCATTAACAGAACCTAAACTGACTAATGGCTGCTCACCCTTTGTTTGACACAAGTAATCTCACCAACTCTGCCCTTGGGATTAAAATGTATGTCCTGACATTTTTTTTCTACTTTGGATAGAGTAAGGAAGGATTAGAACCTCTGTGAGGTTTTACTGCTATCCAAGGGTCTGTCAGGGATGTTTCCCTCACTTATTTTCCTGGTGACAAGGGCTTCACTTTGGAGTGAAGGTAAATCATCAACAGTTACACAGAGAAGAATATTTTTTTAGTAGAATAGAGGAATGTGAGAACCCCTGTCAGCATTTTATTACTGTTTTGTGTCCCTGTTGCAGATGGTTGGCAGTTTCTTGTCTGATGACAGTAAGCAAGGAAAAGAAAATCTGTAATGGAACCCCTGCTCTATCCAAAATGAAAACAACATTTTTGGCTGGATTTACATTTAATGTTAGAAAAGAGAAGCATCTGTGAATGTTAGCAGATAGAAAATCTGCTATAGTGAACACTGCTGTTTATAGAATTCACTGTGATGAATATGAGAATAATGATAATGGAGGACAAGTAGTTTCATTTCACACTGAATTCATAGAGATCATGAAAACTCATGATTCATCTGAATGGCACTAAGAAAATGGCATTGTGTTCTTCTAATGCTTTTGATGGTAGGTGTGTTTGATGGCAAAACTCTCATTTATCATGTGTAAAATGGCACCAAAGAAAATGGGAGGGTGGGTTGTCATGCAAGGTACAGTGTGGCAGTTGACAATGCTGCAAACATTTCTGCATAAATAATTAAAATGTGTTAATGTCTTCATTGTGACAAATTTCATTTAACCCATCTCTACTCTGCATATAGACATCAGGTCAATAAATGACACAGGTGGTATGTGTCCATTACTATAACTCGTTTGAACAGTAGAATAAGCTTAATTTTAGAAGCTAAAACACTCCTTGTGGAACTGTAATGCATAGGAAGCAATTTGGTTATTCCTAAAAATCATTTGCTTTTTATACATTTCTGCATGATATACTTCCCTTGAATTAGGAATCGGAATTTAGAAAGCTGTGTTATAGAATGAAAGAAAATGGCACAGTCAGAGATAATATAGATAACATAATTATAGGTATATTAAAATGGTAAGGAATAGAATGTGATATTCGTACAGACCTGCACACATGAACTGCTTGCATACTGTAATACACTGCAGTACTACATTGGCACTCTGCCCTCAGATCAGCACTGCAGTCTTTTCAGCTAGAATCATTTACAGCTAAAACCTTTATCTCAGTTTGAAGCTAATACGTTCTCTAGAACTCCAGAGGAGATTTTGATCAATATACATTACCTTTCACTAATATATTTAATGCTTAAAGATACATGCACAGTCATGTAACTGCTACTATGTATACATTTAAGACATGCAATGTTTAATATGTAAAGCAAGGGCATTTGTTTTATTTCATTCATTTGGTAACAGCTGTAAAGACTTTGTTTACACGGAATCTAGTGAATATGGGCATCAGTGTAACCTTACATATTACACTATCTTTCTTGATATGTCAGTTAGTAAATGACTAATGACAAGTCCCTTCTCATAGGCTTACCTCTCCATAGGCAATCCTTTCTTCAGTCTATCATAAATGCTGCAGCCCGACTTATGTACCTTACCTACCACTCAGTGTCTGCCACCACTCTCTGCCAGTCCCTCCACTGGCTTTTGATTGATCAGTAAATTAAATTCAAAATACTAAAAAAACAACATACAAAGCTACATCACCAATTTTGTCTCCAAATATCACCCAAACCATCCTCTCTGCTCCTCCCAAGATCTCTGGATCTCAAGCTCTCTTGTCTCCTTCTCCCATGCCCATCTCCAGGACGTCTCCAGAGCCTCTCCCATCCTCTGCAACTCTCTACGTCAATATGTCCAGCTATCTCCTACTTTGGCCACCTTTAGGTGATCCCTGAAAACTAATTTCTTTAGAGAAGCCTATCACATCTCCAACTAACAACTGAACTTTCAACTCTTCCTTGAGCTTATTCCTCACAGTTATAATGTTTGTACTACTTTAGATTGTAAGCTCTTATGAGCAGGACCCTCCTAAAGCCGGTCATAGATGGTTCCAATGTCAGCCGCTATTATAGCCATTAGCAGTAATCACTGCGTTCTCCTGGCGGGGACTGCTCCCCCCCCCCCCCCCATGTTCTTGGGGGAATCAAGCAACTTTCTTTCCTGCGACCTGTGGTTGCAGGAAAGAAAATTAATTCCGTCTATGGCCAGCTTAAGCCTCTTGAATTTTAATTTATTGTATTGTAACTGTACTGTCTTTTTTGAGATTGTAAAGCATTGTGCAAACTGTTGGTGCTATATAAAATATAAATTCTGTATAATAACATTAATAATAATAAATCTTAGCTAAAAGTTATATAAAAGCTCCTATGGGCTGCGGTTATAGTACTGCAATCATTCCCTTAAGGCTCAGTTGCCCTGCATCATTGCCCCCCTCCCCCTGTATAGTGCCCACACTGACCTCAACCTTGAGTTAGGGGCTTCTCTGCAGGTGGTATCAGATTTGGAATTCATTCCTGGGCTCACAGAAAAAAAAAAGAAAATTATAACCAACATGTATGACAAAAATAAGTATTATAATGCTATGTCTGTATTTATATATTGTTTATATACTTTATATCTTCATCTCCTGCAAGGAGAGAAAGATACAATGCATCTTTCTATTCAGAAAAGATAGTAAACACATGGACAGGCTGCAGAGCGACTGATCACTGTGATAGCCAATCAGAGACTATCACGGTGACCAGGTGACCAAGAACCATAAGTCCCTGGTCCTGATCATTAGAACAAGACCTGTGGCTCCTGGTGAGATCCCAGTCTCTGTGCTGGGAGTGCTCTGTGTGGCATGCTCCCAGTACAAATACAGGTACACAGATATGCAGTACATCCCACTGATAAAAGCCCACTTCAGTGAAGCTGCATATCTGTGTACGGTCAGCAGGAAGGGGTTAAAACAGTTATTAGAACAGAAAAATACACAGTTACTGTTTTTATCATTTAGGTGTTTTAACAAAAAAATATTGCTTAGTAATTCATCCAGCAAAACTTTATGTACATTAGCGCTGTGCAAACTAACCAGCTGTTGTGAGAATGGAGCAAAATCAAATCTTCTCAGGCTATTTTTACCTCTGGGTGAATGTTCTATGAATATTATTGCAGTAGTAGAGATAGGTTAAATGTATAACAAACATAGTGTGAATAAGATAAGTACAACATTATGGCAACAAGATTGAGTTGGGGATCTTAGGAATAAAAAACATCTTAGTAAGAAGCGATACAGTGTAACAATTCAAGACAATGGAAATCACATTATTCTCTATGGTGCCCATGCACATCATTGCAACATGGTTCAATGTGAATTTTGTAAAGGTGCAAGTGCTTCTTTTGGTGCAGCATAGTGTGTATTGTCCCCACAGACTTCAATGGGAGTGCATAAAAATCTCATGAAAAGTACTTGGCTCATTTTTGGCAGGGATTTGTGTTTAACAGTCAGTTTCTTTCTACAAAAAGCACATGAAGCATGAAACGCATTAAAAATATGTAAAAACAAGCAAATATGTGTTGCAAAATGCACCAAGAATGCATGATTATGCACCAACACTAGTGTAAACCTGGGGTAAAACCAATAAAAACATAATTTATGAACACTTTGAAAACATACAGTAATATTGTACATTCCAAATTCCATTGCATTGTCTGTCAGTGATACTCTAAAAATATTTTGCATATAGTGGTATGGGTGAATTTCCCCAATATAAAAAAAATGGTTGTATTGAGCTCTTTTCTCCAGCTTGATATAAAATAAATTGAATCCAGATAAAGCCTTTTTGTTTTTAATACACTTATGATCAGTAAGATTCTACATCTATTTCCTGGTGAACCTTTTGGGAGATGCTGGGAGGAACTGATTCAAAACTATGCAAAGAAGATAACAAGAAAAGTATGACCTTTTGTGATCTATTACAGTGGAAAATATTGATTTCTCATATGAACAATTTTCATCATCAGTCTCTACAGCACAATGTAGCATCAATGGTTTTCCTATTGCAAAGGGTGTTTAGGTAGCCATTTTGCAGCCCTAAACCATGTTTCAGAAAATACAGCCTTTTGATCTGAATGGCAATTACAGTTATATGGATGTACCGGACTGACAACTCATAGGGCCCCTGGGTAATAGGAAATCATGGGGCCCCTTTGTCCTTGCCCACACTCAAATCACAGCCAAAAAAGTCTATGAAAGGTACCAGGGGCATCTCATGGGGCCCCCTACTGAATCCGGGCAGTGCCCGGGTGCCCAAATGGTCAGTCTGCCCCTGGGATGTACGTTATTCTGATAGCATTATTACAGACCACGTTTGTATTACTCTGTATAAATGCAAGTAATGTAATCATCATTCTCATACATTCTGTCTGGTCTACTGTTTTCTTTTTCAGAAAGTTGGATGCCTTCATCTATGATGCAGCAGTGCTTAATTACATGGCGGGAAGGGATGAAGGTTGCAAGCTTGTAACAATAGGCAGTGGTTATATTTTTGCTACAACAGGTTATGGAATTGCCCTCCAAAAAGGTTCTCGGTGGAAACGGCCTATTGATTTAGCTCTTCTGCAGTTTGTTGGAGATGGTAAGTTATGAGTTATTACACCATTAAAGTAAATGTATTGTTTAGTTTAGCTTTGTATTTTTTTTTTCAGTTACAATAGGTTCCTCATCCTGGTTACGCAAATAAAAATAAAATGAATGGTTGCTAAGAAATAGAAATATTTTATTAATTTCTTTGTAATTATTTAGTATCTTCTTGAAAATTAACTTTCTGCATTAACAAGCTCTGTTTTGTCTTTTCTGTTAAATGGTAGTCCTAATTGTGTCATCATTATTCAGTAATAAACCATATAAGTTCTGTACAAGGGTCAGGTAAAGAGTATTTCATGTTCATACAAGGTACACACACATAAACTTTCCCATTAACCTAGTTTCAGTCATTTTTACAGTTTGAGTGAATCTGTAATGGTTTCCTTTTTGTTTTTTTCCCCTTTTTGTTTTCTTTCTGCTCATTTTGTATCCATAGGTTATAGCTGTGAGTGATGGGAAAATGGAGCTTGAAAATGGGAAAAGCACAGTTTTCATGTTTTGTTTATGGACATGCCAATGTATTTTAGTTGTGCCATGAGAAAATCTATTTTATACCTAAATTACCAGTGGCCAGTTTGAGTTGGTTGTTTCCAGTGATGAGATATTTCATATCCAGCTACTATGCAATTAATCAAGTTTTGAGAGTGTGATCTTGTATGGTACAGAGGGGGTTTCAAACAAAACTTGTGCGAAGGCATCAGATGAAGAGCCTAATCACCTTCACAGTATAAGAAAACAAGTGAACAATCTGTAGTAGAAATAATTAAATATAATGGTATATACCAATAAGCAACATGGGCATGACTGAGTAGAGCTCTACTAAATGACCCTTAGAAGTGGAAGCAAAACAGTGTAAGATATGTTGTAGTGAAACAAATAGGTACACCCATAAGTAGCTAATTGACATGAATAGACCGTGAGCTACTTGAAAAGAGCTATTGATTAGGAAGGCTTTAGGATATTGAGGATTGAATGGAGGAGTGGGCAAAGGACTTTGGCTTTGCGTTTACCTGCAGTTTACCCAGGGAGTTGGTGAGCTCAGCTTTTCGGTACTAGTAGTAGAGGAAAGGTAGCATGCGGGGAGACAATTCCATTAGGGAGAAAGATAATTCCATTAATAGTCTCCATCTGCCAATGAAATGTCAAGTAGATTTAAAGTTTTGGACAATAGTATCCAATTTTCTCTATAGCAATCAAGGACACTAGGGCCTGTTTGACCATTGATATATGTGGAGATGAGGGCTGGATCCACGCTTGGAGGATTGTCTTGCAGGCCACCAAAAGGCAAATGTGAGTCCAAGGATAGAAATAATGGCTTGTGTTGGGGGGTGCTGACGCCACTGGGTTTTCCAATCCAAAGTTACATAGCATAGGGTTCTTGGGACTTTCATCACATGAACTTTAGCTATATATGTCAGGACTTTGTCCCAAAATGTTGAAATCTGTGGGCATTCCCAATGTCAGTTTGTGGCTCCCTGAATCAATTTTGACTGAGCTCAGGGTATGGCGTAGATTTTTATGAAGCATATTGGCTACTCCCGCTTTGCACCCTATGGCCGGAGATCCATGGATTTCCCCAACCCACAGCTTGCAAAGATGAGGAAGATCATCTGCAGCTAGATCGGTCTCTTGGAGAAGAGCAACATCAGACCCCAAACGTTTAAAATGTTGTAAAACCTGCATTTGTTTATTTGGCGAGCGGAGCCCCTTCACATTCCAGTACATTATTTTTAGGTGATCTCCATCTTCTGATGGAGCCATGTCAGTTGTAGTGAGAGATGATGAAGTTGCGCAAAAAAAAGGGCAACACCACATCAAGCATTGCTCCATCAAGTTTAGAATTATAACATAGAAGGTAAACACTTATGAACAAAATAACAATCAATTAACAATACAAATAGAGCAAGGATAACCATGAGGGAAAACCTCCTAACAAACATTGTGGTCTTCATTTTTTTGAACATGGAGCTATTCTCCATAGCACTCCTGCTAAGAAAGAGCTCCTCTATGTATTAATTCATAGAGGGAGGACCTGGGAGGGAAAGGGGAGGAGAGGGAGAGGTTGGGGGGAGGGGGAGAGAGGCAGAAGGGGTGGGAAGAGAAAGAGGAGGAAAGAAAAAAAAAGGGGGGGTGGGATCAAAGCTCCTGTATCAGAAGCTAGATGGCAAAAAAGGAGAAAAGCCAGGGTAAGGAATAAGACACTGGTTCTCAAAGGGTATTATCATTAGCAGCCTGGGATTACCCAGGAGAGGCAAGGCCCATAGCAGTGAAATGGATTAGTGAGGAAACCCCTGTGTAGGGATAGGCCACAAATAGACAGGTACAAAGAAACTTCTTTGAGTCCTCTGTTGGGTAGAAGCAATACGCAGAAGAACCAAAGTCAATGGTTCACAGAGTTTCTATCTTTAGGTCCAAAATGGACCAGCTTGTAAGGAGGATTTTGAGGGCTTTGTGATCCTGTGACAATGAAGATGATGCTCTTGAGAGAGGAAAAGAAGGTAGAGGGGAAGAATCCCCTTGGTCCATAGCTAAATCAGCTGAGGTATTACGGTATTACTCTGCCTCAGAAGGAGAAGTAAAGGACATGCATTCTCCCATGAGAGGTTGAATATCTGGAACTGCAGAAGAAGACAGGGTAAACTTGATGCGATTGTGATGAAGATTAGAGAAGATGGAGGAAAAGCCTTGTGTTGGCGCATAACCTCAATGCAGTAATCAGCGAAATGTAAGAGTGGGTGGTCTTCAACAGTGAGGTCACGTGCCCTCCAGAACCTTTGCAAGATGTCGTGCTTGTCAGCATAGTTGAGAGAGTGAATTATCACTGACCGAGTTTTGGAGCGAGATTTCAGATGTTGATTCCACCACACAGAGTCAGCGAAGACCTATCTGCTCTCGGATAGTCTTGGCACACAAATTGACAAGCATATCAGCTGTGAAGGATTCTGGCAGGCCTATAATGCGCAAGTTATTTCACTGTGAGCGGTTTCCAGCTTTTCTTGAAGCTTTCCCTGGGTCTGTGTGAGCCATGCAATAGCTGTGGAGGTGGCAGTTGACATATTGGCTGCAGTGAGCGCCATCTCCCCTGAAGGCTGTCGAGAGGTGGAAATGGATTGAAGGAGCGCGCATACCATGAACCTGTCCATGGGGTTCCTGAACTTCCTCTGGTATGTGGCTGGTAGGTGGGAGGTGTATTCCTGGGCACTCACCAGTTTTTAAATCCTGTTACTGAGGAGCATGGCGGGAGCTGTCAGTGCCTACCTCCTCTCTATACGTTGCTGGAACCGGAAGCCCTGTACAGAGGTTTTTTAAGAAAGTGCAAATGTGCAGATTCAAAAGGAACATCTATGAATGGTCTTCTATGTAGTTGTAGTTCACTGCTAGAACAAGATGATTTCCTAGTCTGGACACACTCTCTCTAACACTGAGAGGAGGTGTCAGGATATACAGGATATGATGTAATGTCCATATAAACATATCTTTATACTGTAAATATTCTCCCTTATGAGAGTACAGGTAGATGTTCCTTGTACATACTCCCAGATGTCAGGCCAATGTTCTTGTGATATTTTGGCATAAACTGCACTTTATAGTTGCCCATATATGAGTGTTTTATCACACATTATTGAGTTTCAGGAACATAAAGTAATATTAAACCCAAAAGAATACATTTATTTTATTGCAACCTACCAATTCTTAAATGCAGTGGTTGCATTCATTTTTCTTTTTTAGGCTTTCTTTGCTTTATTTTCACCCGGTATCTGGCCAGTAAGTCTGTTGTTTTTCAACAGAAAAAGCTATTCTGCAGCTGTAGCAGTTACAGACTTGAGACAAACCATTTACTGCTGATACAGGTGCATATAATGATCAGCTTTTATTCATGGAAAACCTTTATCCCAAAAGGAAAACCTGTTACTGCTTATAAAGTGTGAGCTTGAATTCAGCTTCAATCTTGTGGAATATCTAAATCTGGTAATGCATCTAATACTCCCCTCTCCACAGATTAAAGTGGTTCTAGAGACAGAAGCTTTTTTTACCGTTATGCATTCTTTGCATTAAAGGTGAAAAACCTTCTGTGTGTAGGTCTCAGCTGTAGCTGCCCAAAGGTACCCATGTGTTTCCTCATCCAGAGTGGGGGCACTCTAATACTGGAGGTGTGTTACTGGCCAGATCACTAGGTGAAAACACATGGAAACAAGCCTAAAATAATAATAAAGCTACCACATCTACTTGGTAAGCGCCACTATTACAATTTTGGGTTTAATACATCTTTAAGTATATGGTAAATAGTAGATACCATTCTGTATAAGTCCTTGAGTGCTTTTCTTTTGAACTATGATGATTTAGAAAATATGAAATGTTTTCTTTTGTCTCAAATTCATCTTAGCTGTATAATATATAAGCTATAAAAGATAGAAGATATAATCATCTAAGAGGGTCTATTTTTAGCAATTGAAAGTCCAATGGTTTTCTTGAAACATGGCTCATAATGTTTATAACAAAACATTTGAGCCTAGATAAATGAAACTTGTAACTAGTGAGACATGGTTTTCCACAGTTAGTGTACAGAAGGATGGAAAATACTAGAGCTGGAAAATTTCACATTTCATTGCATTGGGACAAGGTCAGACCAAATGAATAAGTCAATTTCAGTTTTCTTCAGCTTAAATAAAAGAAAAGTGGTAATTATGTAGCACTACCTCAGTAGAGGCTGCTGGTAAAAGCTGGGTTTTCCCTAATAGTACAAAGGCTGCTAGGCACCTATGCACCTGTCTAGACATTCTGACTCCAGTGAACTAGTCTAGGGGATGCCTTTTTGTAGTTTATTGTAGTTTTTTGCTTAATGAACTTTAACAGAAGAGGGGGGTTAGGTCATAGGATACTGCAAAATGTTTGGCACATAATGTTTAAGGGACTCCTTTGATAATAGTGGGTCTTGAACCATCTGGTTACCTTGCACTGATACGCAACTGCAGAGATCAGTCTAGGATCTTT